ATTGAGTCGCTCAGTCTGTCCGTCAGTCTGGGGGTGGTACGCTGAAGACATCGCAAGCTTAGTCCCCAACAATCCCATGAGTTCCTTCCAAAACTTACTCGTGAATTTTGGGTCTCTTGAGACAAGTGTAGCGGGGATGCCGTGGATGGTGATGATGCGGTCGAAGAAGAGGCGCGCAGTTGCTTCAGCAGTAGCAGTGGCGTTGGTCGGGATGAAGTGCCCTAGTTTAAAAAACTTGTCGATCACCACGAGTATAGCGTCATGCCCTCGTGAGGTCGAAGGAAGCCCAGTAATGAAGTCTAGGCTGAAGACTTGCCATGGCTGCTCTGGTACGGGTAGAGGCTGAAGTAACCTTGCTTTTTTCTGCTTGCTACTCTTCATCCGCTGGCACGTGTCGCAAGAGGTGACGAACTGCTGCACGTCTGCTGCCATCCGGGGCCAGTAGTAATACTTCGCTATTCCCGCTAACGTCTTGTTGCTCCCGAAATGTCCCATGGGTGCCACGTCGTGAAACTCCTTTAGTAAGATCTGTCGGAGCGAGGCATAGTTCGGTACCCAAATCTTTCCTGATCCCTTTCTTACAGCTAGGTCCTTCTCCCACTGTAACAGCTTCTCCTGAGCCTGAAACCTTCACCTAAAACTTTGCACCTATGTAGGCTTCACATGTGGGGAACGGCTGGGAGCCTTTAAACAGGGCTGCTGGGAGAGAATGTTAACTCCTCGAAATGCTCGACCCTTATCAGCGCTCCGAAGTAGGGTCTCCATATTACCCAGTACCGGTTTAATTTTTTACTCTCCCTTAATAGAGGCTTGAAAACCTTGAGAAGTAATATTCTTACTTGTCGGGGTGTACGGTTAGTTTCCCAATTAGTGCAGGGTCTTGTTTCGCGTAGTCTCCTTTTGTCTTGGCGATTTCCCGTGGTGCTCACTGGTCGTGACGTTTCAAATTCGCTCCACCATATTCTCCTTTTTCGCCCTCTCCAAAGTAGCTTCGGGGGTGCCGCACTGTTCTTGTCCCTCAACTTCGCATGCCTTTTCTTCATTTTCCAACACGCCAAGATACGATGTCCTGTAGCGCCGCAAAATTCGCACGTCGCATTTGTTACTATCTGCTGCGTCGCATCGTCCTTGTCGTTCTCCATCGGGTCGGCAGTCGTGGGTGGTGCCAATCACCCCAAGCCACTATTTGACTTGTGTCGTGTTCCGTAGTAGTTACTGTTCATCCCGTCGAACTGTTTGATCAGTGCTACCCGAAACTGCGTCCACGTCTTTTCGCCGGGATAATTTTGTTGCTATACCACTCTAAATTTGGGCCTTGTAACAGTGCTACTGCGAGCCGTATGCGCATTGCGTCTTGGGTAGGGGTCGTGCATCCAACGGCTTCGAAATAAAATTTGAGATCAGCTACGAATCGACGAATGTCGCTTCATTTAGCTATAGGATCGAAAGCGTCTGGTTGTCTCAGCTTCGCCGCTTCGAGATTAATTGTAGCTGATGCCGCTATCACAGATAAATTTGTCGGTGTCGCCGTCGTCGTCAGTTGCTGCTGCTGCTGCTGCTGCTACGGCTACCGATTGGTTCACAAGGAGTTTTTTTAGTCGTGGGAGTGCCGCATGTATCTGCTTATGCTCGGCACATTTGGAGATTTATAAAAAGATGCGCGACGAAAATAAATGAATTATAGGTTTTGGTCGACTTACTGCGAGTCGAATCGACTGTAGAATCGACGAGCGCGAATTCTGTAGGTTGCGTAATCCTCCCTTAGTAAAAATGTGCGTTCGATCTCGGCCGTTGAAGAAAAATTGATCGATCTGACGGTCGAAATTCCAACTTTTTCACATATAAATCTGAGGGGGACTTGGAAAATTGCGCCGAACTGGTTTTACATACCCGTATTGGCGCTTTCATCGTCGCCCCTACGGTTGAAGACCTCGCGTGTAAACCCGCTCTGATTACCAAGTGTGAGGATCTGGTTCAAGAAAGTTAAATATATTCAATGATTCACCCGAGTACAAGGCGAGGCTATATATAGACTCGACACGAAGGCAGTAACCGAGGTGTTACTTGAAGGTTTCGCGGGTTGCGAAGTGTCCCGAACGGGTCCTTCTCGAATTCGGTAGAAGGCAATTCGGTGGCAACCGAAAATCATAGAAACCAGTGCACTCAACCTAGTTCAGTGCCTATAACTATAATGAATATAATAAACGCAACGAACATAGGAAATCAAGAAAAGAGAGCAAAATAAAGCAAAGCTAAGCTAGATGCAGCATAATAAAGCATAATCAAGCCAGTGAATTCTAGCAAATCTATCGTACTCTCACATCTCCTCTCTTGTTACGGACACTACTACCTCTCCGTCATCTCTCTTGGCTTTTGTTGCCGCTCTCATTGACTTTGCCGCCACTCACCTCCTTCACAATGCCACCTGCTTAGTGTCTGCTCCTCCTTCCCGTCCTCAGTACGATGAGGGTGAATGTGCCCTTGGCTGTGGCGTCCCTAGAGGATAGGCAGTTTGAGCTGGAGTTCTCGTAGCTGCCTGACCACCTGCTCCGTGGCGAGAGGCTTCAGTCGGTTTGAGCGAGTATACTTCTTCCTTGAGGGAGTACACTACTTTTCAGATGTTACTATACATGGAAGCATAGCAAAACTATGACCTGTACGCTCTAGACTTCCCTATTGCTTTCTTTGAAGGTAGCTTGCACGAGAAGATCTGATTGCGCCGTCCTCTTAACTTCATTGGTAATTTCCAGCAGATGGAGCTTCGAACCTCCAGTCTACGGTCTCCGCCAATCGCCTCGTGAGTGGCACGATACTCTCCGCTCCACTCTTGCTGATCTCGGGTTCTGTCCTTCGTCCGCCAAACCGTCGCCAAGTCGACTCCTTTCTTTGTTTTCGTCTACGTGGATGACAGGACTTCGCTACTACAAACAGGGTTTCTCTAGCTGCAGCGAAGGGCGAACTGCAGAAGTGATACATCCACACTGACCTGGGTGAACTGCGCAGCTACCTTGGCTTACAGATCACCAGGGACGGAACTGCTGACACCATCACATTGATTCAATCGCACATGGTCCAATAGGTCTTTCAGTGGTTCGACCTTTAGGTCTCCTCCACACAACTCACTCCTCTTGCTGTTGACCAATGACTCACTGCTTCTGTTTCTGCGAGCCTGTTCAGCCGAGTGGTTGCTATGCAGATCTTGTGGGTTGCGTCATGTACCTGATGACATGCACTCAACATGACCTCGCCTATTCTCTTAGCATTCTGGCTCACTTTGTTGTGAATGGGAGACACCGTTTTGTTCACTGGACAGCTTCGGCTCTGGAGCTGTCTCGTGGAGGTCTACTCGATCGCCGTCTATGGCACATCCCTATGCTGAGGCTGAGATCTACGCCAGTTCCATGGCTGCTAAGGAGCTCCGCTGGTTGACTTTCTAGCTCAAGTCCAACCTTGTTCCTTGACAATGAGGCCATGACCCTCTTGTGTCAAAAGCCTAAACCGGAGAGCAGAGTGAAACACATCCATCTGTGGAATAACCTATTCCGAGAGCTGCCACGTGATCACACGCGCTTGGTCTTTGTGGCCAATACTACAGACATCTTCACCACCTAGTGAGCATCACAGATTCCGCTCATATCATTTTCTTGTTTAGCCACGCCCTGTTTTCTTTAGGGTTGTCTTGCTTGATTTGTTGCGCACATGTATTTATATAATCTCTTGAACTGGCCTTGTTGTCAAACATTGTATGTTTAAGTTGTGTAGGCTGTAGTGGGTTTCACCTTAGAGGGTACACAAACTTAGGGTTTCCTACTTGTACCCAACTTTCTGCTAGTTGATTTATTATTGCGTCATTCATTCTGACATGGTTTCAGAGCAGGTCCTTCGCTAGGACCTAATTTTTTTTAGGGCCCACCACTACTGACTGCCTACTAGCGCCTTCGTGCGCCCTACTGTCGGAGCGCTCCCTAGCGCCTCCCCCCCCAGCGCCCTCGTGCGCCTCTCTTTCACGGCCCCTTAAGGCCCCGTCGACCCCGCGTGCCGCCCCTTAGCGACCCGCGCGCCGCCCCTTAGAGGCCCCGCTGGCCCCGTCGACCCCGCGCGCGCCCCGCTTAGAGGCCCCGTCGGCCCGTCGACCCCGCGCGCGCCCCACTTAGAGGCCCCGTCGGCCCCGTCGACCCCGCGCGCGCCCCGCTTAGAGGCCCCGCTGGCCCTGTCGACCCCGCGCGCACCCCGCCCCTTAGAGGCCCCGCTGGCCCCGTCGACCCCGCGCGCACTCCGCTTAGAGGCCCCGCTGGCCCCGTCGACCCCGCGCGCGCCCCGCTTAGAGGCCCCGCTGGCCCCGTCGACCCCGCGCGCGCCCAGCTTAGAGGCCTCATCGGCCTCGTCGACCCCGCACCCACCCCGCCTAGAGGCCCCTCTGGCCCCGTCTTCCCCGTTGACCCCACGCGCACCTACGCCTTAGCGCCCCCGTCGCCCCTTACCGCCTCGCACGCGACAGCCCTACCTGAGTCGCGCTGCCTACTGCTGTTAGGGTGCACCTACTGCTCCTACTGCTACTATGGCTAGCCCTCCTGTGCTAGCTTTCGATGCTGAGGGCCGCCCAGTGAAGTTTGAAACCTGACTTGATGACCTGCACCTCTTCCTACAGCTCACTGCCAAGGAGGATATCTCACTGTACGACCATGCCCTAGGCCATGCTACTGCCCCTGCTGCTACTGCTGACAGCACTGCCCGCTCACAGTGGCAGACTCGTGACGCCCACGCTTGCTTTGCTATTCGCAACTCCCTGCCGATAGATGAGCGCGAGCACTTTGGCCAGCACAAGACTGCTAAGGAACTGTACACGGCTGACGTTGCCCGCTACTCCTCACCTGCTTCTGCCGCACTAGGCCGCCTCTCACTCCCCTACCTGTTCCCCGACCTGGCCTCCTTTCACACAGTTGCTGACCTCATCACGCACCTCAAAACTAGTGAGGCCCGCTTCCGTGCCGCTATGCCCGATGAGTTCCTTGCTAAGAACCCCCCCCCCGCTCTGGCTCACTCTCTACCACCTAGTCACCCGTCTCCCTGACTCTCTGCGTGCAGTCAGGGATCACTTCCTAGCTCGCTGCCCCACTGAGCTCACCATTGCCCTCATCGAGAAGAAACTCCTTGCAGCTGAGGCTAGTATAGTTGCTGTAGGTGCCTCTCGTGGCGACCCCCGCACCCCTTTCTTTGAGGGGTGTTCCCCTTCCCCCCTTCTTCCCTCTGTAGCCTCTGCTTCTGCTGTCGACCTCCTTGGTGCTGAGAAGGTCGGGACTGCGTCTGCTTCGAGCGGGCGCCGCAGGGGCAAAGGGGGCAAGGGAGGCGGAGGTGACGGCGGGGGAGGCGGTGGTGGAGGCGGTGGCGACGGTGGGGGTGGTGGTGGGGCTGGAGGGACTGGTGGCAGCGGTGGGGGTGGTGACGGCAGCGGCGGGGGCGGTGGCAGGGGCGGGGGCGGTGGTGGGGGCGGCGGTGGTCGCGGAGGCGGCAGGGGAGGGGGTGGTCGAGGAGGTGGCGGCGGCGGTGGTGGTCGTGGAGGCGCTGGCAGTGGCCAGAGCCAGCAGCACACTCCGTCACCCCAGGAGGCCCGTGAGTGGTACTCTCAGCACGGGGGGGGGAGGGGTGGACTTAGCTGCACGTACGTCATCCGCACTGGTGACCGCACTGGTCAGACGTGTGGGAGGGCGCACACCACGCAGCGCTGCTTCTCTCGCCTCGATGACGCCTGGCGTACTCAGTTCCCTGATGCCACTGAGCTGCCCCGCTGGTTTGATCTGATGAAGAAGGGAGTTGATATCTATGCTCTAGACTTTGATGCTATTCTCACTGCCATGTATGTGATGTCTACTAGTGGAGAGGGTGCTCAGTACCTGTGTGTTCCGCCCGACCCGGGCATTCGGACCAGTGAGGCTGCTGCTCTAGGTGCTAGTGAGACTGCCACTCTAGGTACTCGCGTGTCTACTACCCCAGGTGCTGGTGCGGCTGCTGCTCTAGGTGCTCGTGAGTCTGTGCCCCCTGGTACTGAGTCGACTGCGGCACTGCACACCTTCACACTGGACTCAGGTGCTTCTCGCTGTTTCTTTCGTGACCGCACTGTCCTTGAGCCACTCGCTCGGCCAGTTGCTGTCTCCCTCGCTGACCCCTCTGGGGGTCCGGTCATTGCGACCTCCTCCACTGTCCTTCCTTGTCCTGCGGTCCCGTCGGGCACACTGTCAGGTCTCCACCTCCCCTCGTTCTCTACGAACTTGGTGGCGGGTTGTGCGCTCCAGGACGGGGGTGTTCACCAGTTCACCCCTGCCTACGAGCGCGTGACACACTGCACGTGTGCTCGGACGGGCCGTCACCTGGCTACCTTCACTCGGCAGCCGGGGTCGGACCTGTACACACTGACCACTGAGTCCCCTCAGGTAGCTGCGTCCGCGTCTGCGTCTGCGTCAGGTCAGCTGTCGGCCCCCTGCTCGTGTCGCTCTCTGGCGCACGAGACCGTCCTCTGGCACCACCGACTTGGTCACCCGTCTGTGCAGCGCCTTCGTGCCATGCACAAACGGTACCTTGTCTCTGGTCTTCCCAGGGTTCTCCCTCCCTCGCCTGCTCCTCCCTGTCTTCCCTGTGTCGAGGGGCGGCAGCGCGCCGCTCCTCACTCCTCCTCTTTTCCCTCGATGATTGCTCCCTTGCAGACGCTCCACATGGACGTGTGGGGCCCAGCCCGCGTCCGTGGACAGGGTCAGGAGAGGTACTTCCTGATCGTTGTTGACGACTTCTTGCGCTACACCACGGTCTTCCCCTTGCGCACCAAGGGTGAGGTCCCTGATGTCTTGATCCCTTGGATCCGCAGAGCTCGTCTCCAGCTCAGCGAGCGTTTCCGCTCGGACTTTCCTGTCCTGCGTTTGCACTCTGACAGAGGTGGTGAGTTCTCCTCCGACCTCTTGGCAGCCTACTGTGCGGAGCACGGCATTGAGCAGTCGTTCACGCTTCCGGCCTCTCCACAGCAGAATGGGGTTGCTGAGCGCCGCATTGGCTTGGTCATGGAGGTCGCTCGTACCTCCTTGATCCATGCGGCTGCCCCCCACTTTCTGTGGCCGTTTGCGGTCCGATACGCTGCGCATCAGCTCAACCTCTGGCCCCGTGTCTTCTTGCCGGAGACTTCCCCGACACTGCGTTGGACGGGAGAAGTTGGAGATGCGTCGCGTTTTCGGGTCTGGGGATCTCGAGCCTTTGTCCGCGATACGTCCGCGCTGTTCCTTGTGTCTTCCTTGGCTTTGTCCCGGACGCGTCTGGTTGGCAGTTTTACCACGCCACCTCGCGCCGTGTCCTGCCCTCTCAGGACGTCACTTTTGACGAGTCCGTCCCCTACTACCGCCTCTTCCCCTACCGCACTGCCCCGCTCCCCCCCCCCCCGCCTCTCTTCCTAGCTCCAGGTGCTGCTGTACTAGACCCCCTCCCCCCTCAGGGTGCCGCTCCCTCAGGTGTGTCCCAGGTAGGCCCGGTGGAGCCTGTCGAGGTAGCTGTCGACTCTCGTCCTGCTAGGGGTGCTGAGTCCGAGCGTGCGGAGCCTGGGAGTGCGGAGCCTGGGGGAGCTGAGTCTGGGGTTGCGGAGTCTGGGGGTGCTGAGCCTGGGGGTGCTGAGCCTGGGGGTGCGGAGTCTGGGGGTACTGAGTCTGGGGGTGCTGAGTCTGGAGGTGCTGAGCCTGGGAGTGCTACACCTGGAGGAGCCCTCTCCTCACAGCAGCTGCAGGAGAGGTACTTACAGTACTGCAGCCTCAGGAGAGGTGCTTCTGGAGCCAGGAGTGCTGCTGGAGCTGGTACTAGTGCTTCCCCTCCTAGACGGGAGCTGCCCTCCCTTCAGCGGATCCGAGAGTGGTACACGCGGCGCTGCAGTCTTCGGAGTGGCGCTCCTGGTGTCGCGGACCCTGGAGTTGGAGCTGCTGCTGGTGCTGCGGACCCTGGAGTTGGAGCTGCTGCTGGTGCTGCGGACCCTGGAGTTGGAGCTGCTACTGGTGCTGCGGACCCTGGGGTTGGAGCTGCTGCTGGTGCTGCGGACCCTGGAGTTGGAGCTGCTACTGGTGCTGCGGACCCTGGAGTTGGAGCTGTGGCTGGTGCTGAGGACCCGGGCGTTGGAGCTGCTACTGGTGCTGCGGACCCTGGAGTTGGAGCTGTGGCTGGTGCTGCGGACCCGGACGTTGGAGCTGCTGCTGGTGCTGAGGACCCTGGCGCTGGTGTCTCTGCTGGTTCTGGAGACGCTGCGCGGCCGCGACCGTACTTCGTGCCGCTCCTTCAGCAGGTTCTTGGTCAGACTCCTCCTCCTTGTCCTCCTCCCTCCTTAGAGTGTCCTCCGCCTGTCCAGTCGCAGTCACAGTTACCACCTCCTTAGAGTGTCCTCCGCCTCGCCTCTCCCTGGTCCTTCTCCTTACACTGGTCCCACAGGAGGTCTTACGGAGCGTCGTGAGCCTGAGTCTCGTCCTGTGTCGCCTGCGTCTCGCTCTGCGTCGCCTGTTTGTACTGCTCGCACTGGTCGTCGTGTCCCACGTGAGCGTCCTCCTCCTGTCCCTGGCACTCACTCCATGACTCTGCGTCCCTCCACTGCTCCTCAGCGTGTCCCTCTGCCGTCTCCTCCTGCGTCCTCTTTGCCTCACGTTCCGGACCCTGAGTCTGACCGGTTTCGTGCTGCGCACCCTACTGTCACGCGTCTGTTAGCCACTGTTGTCACTGACCCGTCGTTTGAGTCTACTGCTGCGTCTGCCTTAGTCGCTGAACTTGTTGACTTTGCTGCTGCCTGTCGTCTAGACTACGCCGCTAGTCTTGTTGCTAAGTCTGAGTCTGTCTGTCCTCCGTCCGTCGGGGGTGAGTGTGCTCTTGGCACGGACGTCCTTGAGGACAGACAGGAGGAGTTCCAGTGCTTTGCTGCTGCTTTGCCCCATCTCGTGTCCGTGATAGTTGCCCCTGAGGGAGACCCGGATGCACCAGACATCCCGACTCCGCGCTCTTACGCGGAGGCGATAGAGGGTCCCTACTCTTCTCAGTGGCAGACAGCCATGGACGCGGAGATGGCTTCCTGGAAGTCCACAGGCACCTACGTCGACGAGGTTCCCCCACCTGGGGCGAACATCGTCAATGGCATGTGGATTTTCAGGGTGAAGCGGCCGCCGGGTTCTCCTCCTGTCTTCAAGGCGCGCTACGTTGCTCGAGGCTTCAGTCAGCGAGAGGGAGTAGACTTCTTCCAGACCTTCTCCCCCACCCCGAAGATGACCACTCTTCGGGTGCTGCTGCACATAGCCGCTCAGCGCGACTACGAGCTTCACTCACTTGACTTCAGCACTGCTTTCTTACAGGGCAGCCTGCACGAGGAGATCTGGCTGCGCTGCCCTCCTGTCTTCACTTGGTCGTTTCCTCCTGGTACCCAGTGGAGCCTCCGGCGGCCGGTCTACGGTCTCCGCCAGGCGCCACGTGAGTGGCACGACACACTGAATACGATACTTGCGGCTCTTGGGTTCGCTCCTTCTGCTGCTGACCCGTCGCTGTTTCTGCGCACTGACACGTCGCTGCCGCCGTTTTACATCCTCGTGTACGTCGACGACTTGGTCTTTGCCACTGCTGACACTGCGGCACTCGCCCACGTGAAGTCGGAGCTGCAGAAGAGACACACGTGCACAGACCTGGGTGAACTGACAAGCTATCTTGGCTTGCGGATCACCCGGGACAGAGCACGGCGCACCATCACCTTGACTCAGTCACACATGGTGCAGCAGGTCCTTCAGCGCTTCCGCTTCACGTACTCCTCGCCTCAGTCCACTCCTCTACCTACCGGTCACTCGCTCTCAGCTCTGCCTTCGGATGAGTCTGTAGAGCCGAGTGGCCCGTATCCAGAGCTTGTGGGCTGCCTCATGTACCTGATGACCTGCACTCGACCTGACCTTGCATACCCTCTTAGCATCCTTGCACGCTATGTCGCTCCTGGCCGTCACCGGAAGGAGCACATGGATGCCGCTAAGAGGGTGTTGCGCTACTTGTGCAGTACGTTGGGCATGGGGCTAGTGCTTGGAGGGCGAGACCGAGTTGTACTCACTGGGCACTCAGACGCTTCTTGGGCGGACGACCAGGCTACTCAGCGGTTGTCTCAGGGTTACACCTTCAGTCTTGGCTCTGGTTCAGTTTCTTGGCGTTCTACACGCTCTTCTTCTGTTCTCAGCTCCAGCTGTGAGGCTGAGATCTACGCCACAGCCATGGCAGCCCAGGAGCTACGCTGGCTTACCTACCTGCTGACCGACTTGGGAGAGTGGCCTCGTTCTCCTCCAGTGCTGTACGTCGACAACAAGGCCGCCATTGTCGTGTGTAAGGAGCACAGACTGGAGCATAGAACGAAGCACATCGCTCTGCGCTACTTCCTTGCTCGAGAGTTATAGCAGCGCGGTCAGCTTCGTCTACGTTACGTGGCCACCAGGGCCAACACTGCTGATGTGTTCACCAAGGCGCTTCAGCCTTGTGACCATCATCGTTTGTGTACTCTTCTAGGCCTTGTGCCTGTTGGACCTCACTTGCTTACTTCTTGACTCTGCTTGTACTGTGATCTCTATATATATACCTGCATGTTTACACTTGCTAGGTTGTGATCACAGTATCTCTTGTTGTATTATCAAACTGCATGTGAACTGGTCTTGTGACCGCCTGCTTGTGCTCGGAATTTGTGTGGTATCCTTGAGATCCACCCTGAGCTTGTTTTGCTTTGCTTTGACTGGTCTCGTGACCCTCTGGTTGTCTCCCACTGCGCCTATGGGGGTGTGTCAAACATTGTATGTTTAAGTTGTGTAGGCTGTAGTGGGTTTCACCTTAGAGGGTACACAAACTTAGGGTTTCCTACTTGTACCCAACTTTCTGCTAGTTGATTCATTCCTGCGTCATTCATTCTGACACTTGTGGCCGTTTTTCTTAGAGGTTGGCTAGTTGTACCACCCTGAGTTGCATTTCTTGCTTGCTTGTTTTTCACTTGTCTTGTGACCTTATTGTTAGAGATTGAGGACCGAGTCTATGAAGAATAGGTGCCCAAATAACTCAAAATCGTTGGCTTCAAATTCTGGACAGAAACCGCGACTTCACAAGAAACGTCGTCGGCTAAAATTGCACCGTTAGAATTGTCTCAAACTCGAGTATGTTGTAGCCTGTAACCAGGGCTATCTTTCCCAATTTGAATCGTATCAAATGGTGGAGTAAATCTTGAGTTATGATTTTCGGCGCACTAGGGGGTATGCTGCCACAGAAACTTTAACTCAATCACAAGAGTTTCACAAGTTCACAAGAGACACACACAAGAGAGTTAGAGTAGGACTAAACCAGGTGGGAGGGAAGAGGAGGACGAGAGGGAAGGTCCCAAGAGAGTCCCCAACCAAGGAAACCCCATGCCACACAATTCCCCTCTCCATAGGCAACCCCACTTTCACATTTGTCACTTTCCCAACTCATGCCATCCACCTCAACCCACTTGGCCACACTTGCCAACCTGGTTTGGCTTCTCCCAACCACATGGCAGCAATCTACAGTGATGGGACCGAATTTCCCAACCCCAAAAGTCTGTACCCCATATTGAGTCACTCCCACAACTTCCCAAAGTCGCCGCAACCAAAGTACAGAAAGCATACGAACTCCAATGTTCGTAACTTTCTTGATCTTGCTCCGATCGCGACGATTCTTGGTTCGTCGGAAAGCTCTTGAGCAGAGAAATCACTTCAGATATCTGCTCAAGCCAAATAACATTCACACACACTCAGAAAATCCAAACCGCACAAGCATATGATGGGAGGCAGACAGACGTGAATGCGAATGATAGCATCACAACACTTATGTCTTTCATATTTGTTTTGATGCCTCTTACTTAGCCTATGGGGGTGTGTCAAATTATATTTATATCTATGTTAGTGATGTATTAGGCTATACTGAGATACAAAATATAGGGTACAAATTCTGCTCTCGACATTTTCCTACTTGTGCTCATCTCAGTCTATCTCACATCCGCTAACCTACTCCCGAGATCTTGCTCATGCCTAGTTGGATCTCCACTATGTCCTCTCAAAATCGTAAAACTGGTAAAAAATAGGCTGAAATGAACTATCCTTCTCCCGTATGCATCTCCTCCTTGCCTGCGTTTTCCCTGCGCAGTGGCGTGCCTTCTCTGTTGGCAGATTCTGATCCGCGATCGCTGCCCCCTTCTAGGGATTTTCTCTCCCTGCCAACGACTGTCTCCGTCACACCAGCTCTTGCGCGAACTTGCTCCTCTGTCTCTTCGTGCGTGCCCGCTCGATATGTTAGGTGCACTAGCGGATCTCGATCATCCATCACCGATCTGCCTTGATAGACGTAGCCTGAGCGTAAACATTGTAGATTTAAGTCTAGGGAGTCTTAATCATCCCTCACAGAAGCGACAGCAAGTTTCCTACCTGTCCTCTTTTTCGTTTGTATGCAACGAGATCCAATATACTATAGTTGGGTACTCTAGTTCTCTCTACTGCCCGTCTCCAAGATGTTGGAAAGCAATTTGGAGTATAAAAAATTAAAATACAAGCTATTTACAACCCTCTCGCTACTCCAGGCTCAGCTACCTACCCTTGCATGGTTCCAGCTTTCACCTCTTGGGTTGCGCGCGGCACCTGCAAAGGGATGGAAACTAGTCCTAAGAGGCGCTTCGGGCTCCCTGCGTACGCCAGCCCTCCTCGTTACTTGAGCCCAACCTGACCTCACATTTCGCCCCCTCCACATGTTGCCCTCGGTTCACCTTCAAACACTGCTGGTACACTCCGTCTGATGTAACCCTCAGCACATCACAAAATAAAATATTGCTTAACCAAGAAACTTATTCAAACTTACCTTCTAGATGTTGTGTTACTCACGCTAGGGCCAGCCCTGCGGGAGTTACGCGACAGCTGTGCGTCAATCGCTGTGCTCTAGTGTTGTGCGGCAGTCGCTGAGTGCGAGCCCTCGCATCTCTCAAGAACCTCTCAAGCGGTGTACCCCTTCAGCGGATGTAACTTGCACTCGTTCTTGCTAAGGGAAGTTTAGGGGGTGTATCAAATTATGCATGTACGGTATGTATGTATACATTGCTGTAGCATAGACTAATGTAGTTATTTTATTACAGCTGATGGAGGTGCACTCTGCTTACTCTTGCCTCTTGCTTGTACTGATCCCTCTGCTCTTTCCACTCAAGTCCCCATCCTTTCGCAACTTACCTAGCTTATAAACCTCTAAGCTATTTTTTTTTTAAACTCGGTGCTTTCACACGAGAGATACCGTAATCGCTCAGACATAACACCCTAGGATCCTACTATAAATACTTCAAAAATAAAAAGCTACATATTACCCGTGTGGATATATATAGCACATCTTAGTGTAAGGGTTTCTAATAAAAGGCAACTTGGGCGTTTTCATGGTCACTTTAACATCACAGGCCGAGGCGCGAATGCGAGTTTTGGCGACAACTTTATCACCCTCTTGAAGATGTCATGTGTTACCTTTGGTCACTTGTAGCAAAAAAATCACCAACGTGGCAAAATAGTGGGAGGGGGGAAATCTCGGAAAACATCAATTGAAAGTACTGTGTAATTTTGTTGAGGGAAAGATTCTAGTGTCAGATTATAAAGGGTACAACCCTTCTAGGGTTGTACTTGTATCTCCCTGGTTTCATAGTCAAACATTCCTACCACTTAGTTTTGACAGGGTTTCAAAGCAGTTAGTTTCTTAGGACCGCGTTCAGGACCTTTTTCTTTTTCTCTTTTCTTTTTTTTTTCTTTTTTCATAAGCCCGCTGTTACTACTGACCCTAGCTGCTCCACGACTTTTTTTCTGCCCTGCACGTACCCCTGTCTTGCGCGCTCTGCTGCCCTGCGCCTTGGCGCTACCCTTTCCTGCACGCTCGCGCCACCCTGCTCCGCTGCCTTGCTGCCCGAAACGCACGCCCCGCGGCTCCCGATGCCCCGCCGCCTTACGCAACGCGCGTGCTGCTACGCCGGCACTGCCCCGCTGCCCTGCGCGAAGAGCGCCCCGCGGCCCTCGCTTGTCAAACATTATATATGTTTATATTGTGTAGGCTGTAGTGGGGTAGCCAATATGGGGTACAACCCCTTGAGGGTTTTATATTCGTACCCAACTCTGATATAGTTCATTCATTTCCTGCCTAGACTTTCATTCTGACATGGTATCAGAGCAGTAGGTCCGTAGGACCGTTTTTTTTTTTCGGGCCCACCTACCGTTGCGGTTATTGAGCTGCCCCACGCCTTGACTGCGCTGCGCCGCCCGCGCGCGCCCTGCCTTGCCTGCGCTATTGCCTTGCCTGCGCTGTTGCCTTTGTCAGAATGCTATTATTGTCTAGCCTGCAGTGGGGTACTCTATAGCGAGTACAGCCCAATCTAGGGTTTGCTATTTGTACTCAACTGCCTGCTAGTTCAAACCACTCTCTCCTTTCAATCATTCTTGCCTAGTTCTTCTGACATGCTATCAGAGCAGGTCGACCCTCCTGGGTCGATCCTGTGGGTGGGCCCACCACCTAAGCCTTCCGCTGCTACTGCTACTGCTACTGCTACTCCCTGTCCGCCGCGCGCCCCGTGGCGCGCGGCGTCGAAACTAGGGTTTTCAGCCCGCCGTGCGCCCCGAGGCACGCGGCGGTTTTCTGCCCGCCGTGCGCCCCGAGGCGCGCGGCGGTTCTCTGCCCGCCGTGTGCCCCGAGGCGCGCGGCGGGTTCCTGCCCCGTCACTCGGCACGTCGCCCCCGGGAGGCGCTGCGACGGGCGACGGGGACCCGCGCGTCGCCCCCCGTCGCCCGTCGTGGCCTGCGCGCGGCCCGTACACCCGGCACGCGGCCCGTACGGGCTGCGCCAGGCCTGCGCGCGGCCCGTACGGGCTGCGCCAGGCCCGCGCGCGGCCCGTACGGGCTGCGCCAGGCCCGCGCGCGGCCCGTACGGGCTGCGCCAGGCACGCGCGCGGCCCGTACGGGAAGCGCCAGGCCCGCGCGCGGCTCGGGCCGCCTGCGCGCGGTTCGGGCGGCTCTACCAGGCCCGTGGGCGGCCCGTTCCTCGCTGCTCCTGCCCTCTCCACTGTCCCCCGTGCTTCTACCGGCGCCTCACCCCTCCTACAGCCCGTTCTCCTAAATTAGGGTTTGGGGGTGAAGAGTGTGGGGGTGGCGGCTATGGGGGTGTCGGTTGTGAGTTCCTCCCCCTGCTCCTCCTCCTCCCTCGTCTCCCTCTGCTACAGCTGCCGCTGAGGGGGGTGGTGTGTGGGAGCCTAGGGTTTGGGGTTTAAGGGGGGTACCGTCGGAGTGGAGCTAGGGTGTCAGCAGGGGGTGTGTGAGAGGGGCGTGGGACGGTCGGGGGAGATTGCGTGGAGGTAGCCGTCGTGACGCCAGCAGCGCCAGTAGTCCGGATG